TGGGAATGGCTTGGCTGCTTTGAAAATCAGCATTCAAAATCCTGGCATTTTTACCTGTATTTGAACACCAGGCATGGGCATCTATGGGGAAATATGCCAAGAGACAGGCCACAATTTGTAATCATAAGTAAAATGCACTTAAATTCATGAAGGCTAGATACTCTCTTCTCTTGTTCTTGTAACGGCATTCACCCGAGGTGGGTTGAGCCGGCTTCAATATTGGAGTTTCATGGGAATTTGGAATTCACAAGCGGTCCCCAACCTGCATGTATAGCACATGAGATTTGATTCTAGTGGTGAAGGTTTCGTGCAGGACCATCCACACTTTTTGAAGGGCTGATTACAGAGACCTGGTGCACTACGTGCCACAAGGTCCCCAAACAACCCTCCGCAGGTTTTGAATTTAGAGTTTTCCTTCTCTTAGACCAGTTGCCAACCAAGGCTATAGAACCCAGTCTGTCCTGCTATTTACTCATAGCTGGAGGGAGAAGAAAAGGATTCACAACTTTCCCAAGGGCATTAGCACGTAAGTGAATGTAATGGATTCGACTGGAATTCAAACTTGGCTCTCCGATTCCTCAATCCAAGCTGCTATCCATTACTCCACCGTGCCTCCTAGTCTAGATACCAAAGAGGAAAACTCATCAGAACAATTCCCATGAAAATATTTATGGAAAAGGCACAGGGAAACTACATTACAGTGGTGGGAAAGTAACTGAAGTTGAGCTTGTCAGGTTAAGACCAATAATATGGCAGATTTTTCTTTGTATTTTATGTAGAATCTCTAAATGCACCAAATGCAAAAACACCAAACCAGATGTGGCAGCAATATTCAATGCATGGATAAATAGTAGACTTGTGTGCAAGATAAATTCTGGCAAGAAAAATTGTTTAGCACAACACAGTGAACCAACTTTCCTAGCTGCAGACTTAGAAATTGATTCAATATACTCTTTCCACTTCATGTCAGCAGAAAATGTCAGCCTGTGAATGTGTAATGATTCACTCTTCTGTAGGTTAGCATCAACCATGTTGATGGAAGGTAAAAAAAAATAAATAAAAAGCTTCACTGAGATGATTAAAAGAAACTAACTTTGTTTTGAAAGCATCAAAATTAACAAGCCATTTCTTGCCACAGTTAACTGTAGGTCATTCTTGAGATCAGCTGCTAATTTGTCCATATTGAACTAATCAGTTGTGTCATCAGCATAGATATAGAACTGATGCCATCAAGATAGTTGTTGAATATTAGGAACATAGAAACCAGGGGAACACCTGAATTAATACAAAGAGATCTAGAAGAGTGACTGTTCAAGACAACTTTCATTTTGCAATTTGATAATCAGTTTAAAAAAAAAAAAAAAAATTGTCTATAAATACCATAACCTTTCAAAAACAGCCCAAGCTTCACCATTCTTATCTAAAGTTTGACAGACTCTTTCAGCAATAACCATCAACAGTTGACCTAGAGAAACAAGTCATATTGCTCATCTGAACGAAAACCCTGTGAGGGGCAATGCTTAACCAATTTAGAGTTGATTAGAGCCTTTAGTACTTTGCCAAAAAGAAGCAGAAGGCCAATGGGCCAGTGTAATTAGAAGGATCAAACAGTTTGCCTGAGTTCTTAAAGACTGGAACTACAGAGGAGGATGGAGAGGATTTTCAACAGGAAAGCAAAAAGCAACAATACATTTATTATTGTAGAGTTTAGTGAGATCAGGAGCCAGTTCAGGAGCAAACTTCTTTAGAACTATTGCAGGGATACCATCGAGCCCATATGCTTTGTGAGGATCCTGTTTAGAGATGGATAGAGTTATGCATATCACACAATAGAGACTCAGTTCTAAGTGGAAAGTCAGGTGAAAATACTCCAGATGAGTCAAGATTAGAATTGGAAGAGAATTTATGTATGAGCAAAACGTTCTGCTTTACACCTAAATTGAGTGAAGAGACTTTTTCATCAGATCATAATTACAGAGTCGCCAATAGTCACGAGAAGCAAACTTGTTAGAGGCTATAATACGGTGCATTAAAAGATGCAGTTCAAGAAAAGAAAAAAAACTAAACAAAAAACGACCATATTCTTCTTATGCAATATGCGGTCTTCACGAGTTAAAATGTTATTTGATTCGTTCTGCTTCCCTACAAGCGAAAAACCCGAAAATAAATAATTTTTAATCCTTCTGAGAAAATTTATTTTAAATAAGTGACTTATTAAAAAAAAAAAAAAAAATTCTCAGAAGGCTTCCTTAAAACTTAATTTAAGTAAAAAAAAAAAAAAAAATCTTTGAATGGACCTGTACTTTAAAAAAGTTTTTTTTTATCTTGTAAACATCTGAAACACAAAACCAGGTTAAAAAATCAACAAGCAGAAAACGATCGTACAGTACCGGGTCTCATCATTAATTCAGAGGTGAAAAAAGACAATATTCCTTAATTATAGGAAATTAAGCAATATCCAGTTATTTGGAAAATCATTTCAGTAGTGAATCTTGAATAAATATTAATAAAAAGGACAAAATAAAAAACAAAAATTGAATAATAATGAATTTTACAGCAGTCAAATAAGAGGAATCATGGGTTATCTCCCTTTGGTATTTATAATCTAGCGCGGGTAAAGGAAAAAATCCACACACACACACACACACTGCCTCAACAAAAAAAATCATAACAACCTTCTTTCGGATTTCATGAAATTTGTAAATATCACTTCATTCCTGGGATCTAAGACATTGTGAGCAAGAGCAACCTAATTGGTATCTAAGACACGAGTGGCAGTTTTGCGTACGAAAAATATTAACTGCATTATCACATTCGCGTACGTTGACGTTCAAGGAAGAAAGAAAGAAAAGAAAAAATTGTAAGGAATAACCAAATAAAATATCATCAACAATGAATATTTGGATTTATTATAAAGATTTTTCGAGTAGTGGATAAACAATAGTAACATACAACACGAATAACTTGATTTTATTTTAAAAAATATAAGTAAATAAAATTGTGACGAGTTTTTTTATTACTCGCTAGCTAAAAATTCTTTTAATTCCAGAACAAGTGCAAAAATATAAATAAATAAAATATTAAAAAAAAATTGATTAGCAGTTTCAGTTAGAAAATTATATCTTCAATTTTCATTCAGTTGTTTCCTAAAAAAAAATAATTTTTTTTATTTTTGCATTTTTTTAAAGCTTATTTATTTCCGAAAGGAACTAATGTTATAATAATCGAGTTAGCTAATGTAATTATTTAAATTGTAATTAAGAATTACAAGTCATAAGTTAATGATCATAGCTTTTTTTCAAGTAATATTTTTAGCTGCAGCCCCTGGAGAGAAAAATGTTTTTGTTGAGTATATTTTAAAGGTGTGAAATGAAAAGTTTCACGATTGTGCCAACGTAAACAATTAACTTTGACGTTAGAGTTGACACGTTAAAATTCCAGACAAGAAACTCCCGTATTTTTCCTTTTTCAGTCGGAGGAGGATTATTTAAAAAAAAAAAAAAAAAAAAACTTTCCCAGTTACTTTGCCCCACTTCATTTTTTCCCTTTAATCTCAAAGAAAGTAAAAAGAAAAAATAGAGTGAAGACACGAGACAGTTTAAAAAAAAAAAACAAACAACAAAAGTAGTAATAATGCAATTAAATTATACAAATATAAATTTTCTGACAAATCGACATCTGAATGGGTCACACATCCAAACTTTATGCACACACACAAACAAAACACACACACACGACTCCTTGTTTCTCTTTCATATTGAAGAAAAAGATAAGATGAGATCAGGGATTTCATAAATTAAAAAGAGATCAGTCAGAAACAAAAATCAATTTTTTATGTTGCTATCTGTTAGTTCAATTATACTTCGCGAACAAGACTAGCCTTTTTTGAGTGGGGTACAAGGTACTTTGTGAAGCTTCAAAGTTCAAATTGTGTGAAATCTAAAGAAAATTTGCTTTAAATAAAAATTAAGATTTTTTTGCTCCTAAAAATAAACTTTAAAACCTGGTAGGAAATAATACTTCTTTTTTTTTACTTTTTAAGGGTTAAAGATGGGAAGGAAAAAATGCTTTCGTAAATAAAGTTTTTTTTTTCTTAAAAAATGTATTTAATGACAACAAACACAAAAATTCAATAGAAGCACATTTTTTAACCAAATAATTTAATTTTTAAAGCAGTTCTGGGTTAAGATTTTTTTTTTAATTTTAAAAGGCATTAGAGGAAGGTTTTAAGGAGGAAAAAAAGGTTTTTTATGCCATCATATTATTATTCAATTATTTATAAAAATTAGAATAATTGCAACTATTTTAGAATCAAATATGGGAAAATAGTTTTCTTTAAAAAATTGAATACTGTTCTACTTGTAAAACTAAAATAGACTAAAAAACAAAAAAGAGTAATAGAAAAAAGGGCTGACTTAGGACATTTTCAAGTCTATTTAAAAAAAAAAAAGGGTAGAAAGAAAAAAGTTGACAAAACAAAATTATAAAAGAAAAAATGCTTTTAAAATTAGATTTTTTTTTTTTTGCAAAATGATGCCTTTTAACGATAAACAAGGAATTGTTATTTTTAAAAAATCGTTTTATATTTATTGCTAACTCGCAAATAAGAAAAAGAAAGTCTTAGAAAAAAAAAGTAGGTCTAAGAAATAAGACCGTAGTGGCCACAAAGTGGGAGTTCACATTTAGAAATTATTACTATAGTTAACTGATCCCCTTCTTTGTGCCCACATTCACATTCTTTTTTTATATTATTTTATCGATTGTGACAATAACAGATGGTAAGATTTTGAATAGAAAATGCATTGAATTGACGTAAGAAAAAAAAAGAGGAGAAATAACGGGTGAGTAAAATAAATTTGAATAAAAGAAAAATAAGGGTAAGTTTAAGCAATGGGATTAGCTCACAAGATAGGTAAAGGACTTGTTTAATTGATGATCTGCTATTATCCTAAAAATGACGCCAGCGCGACACAAAAAGATGGGTTGTTGAAAGTATATACCTCATCCTGCTTACGCCGAGACTTCCTCTTCTCCGCCATCACTGACAGACAAACAGTCAGTCAGCCGTCCGTCTCGAAATAATTAAAAAAAAAAAAAGACTAGATTATCTGCCCTTAGTTATGACAGGTGGCCACTAGGTGGCGATACCGGTTCGCTGACCTCACCTTCTCTCTCACATCTAACTTATATCGCTCACTCAAAAGAGAGCGGAAAGACAAAAAAGGGTAAAAGAAAAGAAGAAAAAGAAAAAGGGAGACTTGAACCCTAACCTCCGGTAGAAAAAAAATCTGAACCCATGACCTTTAAACATCGCCTGGGACGAACTAGGAAATCGACATAAGACAACTGGTAGTTAGTTACCTTTCTTCAGTTGGTGAGAAAGGACTAAAGAACTTATTGAAAAGAATTAGTTATTTTTAAAATCGTCATCTATCAGAATTTACCAACTTATTCCACAATGTCACAAGAAAAGTAAGAAGTGCTTTTTTATTGTTTTTTTTTCTTAATTTTCAACACTATCTTTTTTTTTAATTTCTACTCTCGAAATCTAAATTCAAATTTTTAGTTTTTAATTTATTTCAGACAGAAATTAAAAGATCTTGTAAATAATTTGAAACTTTTTTAAAAACCACTTTACTTTAAGTTTTACTTTAGTAACACGATAATTATATGAATTTATTGTTTAGGGTGTAAATTAAACTAAACACACTTCTTAAATTCTTTGTTTCTTATAAATTCCGGAGCGATTAAGTAACTTGCTTAATTCATATTTTATTTTTTTTCTTATCGCTTAAAGTTTCTTGTTCGATTCACTTTGTTTTTGTTTATTTAGAAAAAAAACCCCAAAAACCCAAGGTTTGAACAGTAAATGACATCTTTTTTGACGGTCCTGTATGTTGTAACTATCTTCTTTTTTTTTATTATTGATGATCAGTCAAAATTCGTAATTCTTGTGTCATTTTGAGAATATAGTTATATAAATAACGAATTTTCTGATGAATGAAGAGACTAAATTCATTACATTTTATTTTTCACATGTGAAAGGTAAAAAAAGTCACATGTTTGAATTTCACTTCTAGTTTTATGAGCGTAAGAAATCAACTTTCTTGGTGTTGATCTATTTTTACGGTTCTACAAAAATTAATCAAATTACAAATATTACAAAATAAAACAGAAAAACACTAACTAAAACAGTTCATATTTTTATTAATTCCTTGTGTTATGTTTTTAAAAATTGTCTGAATAATAAAAACCAATTAAAAAGATATATATTGTATTAATTTTTTTTTTCATTAGTGTGAAATAAATGTGAATTACTGATAAACGTTTTTATTGACACAGGGAGCAAAGAAATGTAAATCAAATCTGGTCACACCTGGATCTTTAAAAATTTAAATAAGATAAAAAAATTAAAAGTAACTAAACACTATAAATAGAAACTCCTTTCTCTATAAAACATGAGAAATGTCAATATATTTTTATCTAAAAAGATAAAAAACCCAAAGTTAAAAAAAAATGACTAGTGTAGTAAATTAAAACTTTTAGCTGGGAATTTTCACTTGTGGATGCAATAATTTCATTTCATTGTATTTTTAATTTTTATTTAAAAAAAAAAACGGTAGAGATTTAAAGAAACACTCTTTAACACTTAATTTGTTTATAAATATTTTAGAAATTGTGATTTCATTAAAAAAAAAAATCAGTTCCTTTCTAGTTGTTTAATAATTTATTTATTATTGGTCTTTTCTTCCCAATAAGTGCGGTTTGGGTTCGGATATGTATTTTAAAAAAAAAGTCCTTCATTTTTTTTAAAGTTTAAAAAAAAAACTAAAGTAAAAACAAATTAAGCTAGCATGTAAACCTATTGTTATGAAATACAGTAATGAAAAGATTAATTTTAATAATAAACAATACTGCATCTCGTGATACTTTTTTTATGACCAATGTAGATTTTGACGCCCAAATCCACTTGTCATTATTTTTTTTGGAGGTCCTCAACAAGTTAAAATCAACAGCCCCAGATTTTATTTGGATTTAAAAATAATATTGTTCAGATAATTTTTGTTGTGTATCGGTTTTAGATTTATTTTAAATCCTCTCTTTTTCAAAAAATATCTTTAGACATGTGTATGTGAGATCTGGATTTAGAATGACTACATTTTCCACCTGTACTTCTTTCCGGTCCATAGCGTAGGTAGGACGAAAAAAAAGACCTTTCAGGTGCCAGGTTAGTAACATCTGGTCTAGTGCATAAGAAAATTCGATTTATTTTTTAAAGACTTTTAAAATATATCGAATATGTAAGTTAAACGAAAAAATAGTCGGAACAAATCCCCGTTTTAAAAGAATCTAATAAATTTTTTAGTAAATTAACATTTTTTTTCTGAAATTTAAGAGTGAATAAGTTATTTTACCTAGCTACAGACTCTAGCAACAAACAAATATCATTTTTTTAAACGAGACAAAAAGATCAGTCATAATCTGGAGGTTAAAAAGTTAATATTTAAAAAAAGAAAAAAACAAACATTTATTTATTACAGAGTAGTCTGAAAGTCTTGTCACCTTAACCCTCTCTTCCAAGCTGTAGGAGCTTGTCAGCCATCTGAAATGATGGGATGACAAGGTTAACTTTTAGGATCATAAGAAGGTTACCTTATACCACTCTTCTTCACAATATGAAAGGCCTGTTTTAAAATTGGCATCTGAAATCCTGGTTTTTGCTTTCTTGGTTTCAAAACAATTATTGGGAACGAGAGATTTGAGATCACAACCATCTAGGCTAACAAAGGAACCTTGGTATTGAAAATCATTGGAAAAGTAAAAACCTCAGATACTCTCTAACTCGAATCTTGTATATTCCTGGCCAACCACAAAATGTCTGTATGCAAATAGAAAACAAGTTGCACAAATATCATAACTAGAGTAAAAGTAATTATTTGAAAGAAATTTAGCATTTTCAAATGCTTTGTTCAAGTTTTTGTCCAGTTTATTTTTTATTAAAAATGTGTTAATTTTTGTCTGTTTCTGGCTGGACCTGCATTTTATTGCTGCCAATCAATATATTTGTAAGGGTAACTTCTGGTTGAAAGCACAATCATTTGTCAGACATAATCATTGCCTGAGTGTTATACTCATCTGAGAGTTGTGTAAGCGAAAAAACCTCTGGTGTGACCAATCTGTGATAATGCAAATGCTTGTACTTTGAATGAAAATAAGGAAATTCAAAAGAATTGAACTGATTTTATCATTGTTTTAAACAAATGTTAAGTATGGTTTTCTAAATTCTCAAAACACTTTTCCAATATGAAAATACGAATGGGTTTAGTTTGGATAATTGAATGATATTTGCTAAATTTCAGTTTTTAGCATTATTTTACATCTGGATAATTGAAGTCTAGAAAGTTTTCAGAATTTTTATTAAAAACCATTGGGAGCACAAGAGATTTCTGTTGTGCATTCAGTTTCTAGTTTTCAAAAGAAATGGGTCCTTTGATAGATTTAGGCTCATCACTATGAATGTAACACTGAAAAACATGTTAGTTGATCAATTAATTGATTTTGTTAATCTAATATTTTAATGTATATAAAGATGATGTAAATAAACATTGACATATCAAAATTGAATATGTTGTTCATTAATCATATGGTAGTATCATTAATAAAAAAATTGAAACAAAAACCATTCCTAAGATGATGAAGAAGAACTATTTAAATAATTAATTTGAGAATTCCCTGTAGGTTACCCAGATCGATATATGCCTGCAGAAGGCTGGAGAGCACAATGACCAAAATGTTGTGATATCAACAACAAAGATGACAATAGTCCAAATATGAATAGTATAAATAACTGGCAGTAGAGCCCGGCGTTGTCCGGGAATGTAACAGTAAGAAATAGATCAAGTATCGACTATCATGAAGACTGAAAAATAAAATTGACAAAGATTATTGCTTAAGGTTGACGAACACGCATGTCTTAATTAGTTTTTTTTTTTTTTTTTTTATGAATTAGTCAAACCCAAACTCAAACAAAAACATTGTTTTCAATCGTTATGAGTCTACCGGTTGAATAGAATTTTATTATAAACAATTGTCTTGTAAATGGAATTTTTTAAAGCATTCTGAATGTAAAAATAAAGAAAAAAGTGTGCAAGACAATAAGAAACACTACCTGCCAAAAAAAGTGAAGTTTTGTTGAAATCTGTTGAAAAATGTAGGAAATCCGATCCCATATATAAACACACACACACACACACACACACACACAAACAACCTGGGTTTTATAATAACTATAACTCCATATGAGTTGTCTCCCTTTCATTCTGGCGACAGAATCGTGTTTATCGTGTTTTCAAATTGATTTTGTGCAAAAACAATTGTGTTTTTCCAATTTTTGGCGCTGTCAGAACCACCGCAAGGTAATTTTACGCAGTCCTGTGAAGTTTTGTTGAAATCGGTTGAAAAATGTAAGAAATCCGATCCAATATATAAATGTACAGACACACACACACACACAATCTGCGTTTTATAATAAGTAAGATGATAACTCCTCATTTCAGAAATTCAGATAGAAATTGATTTGAGGTTTAAAATATTTAAATAGTATTTTAAATTAGGGAGAGTTTAATGTGTTCAAACATTTTAAAATCCAGTTAATGCTGTGTAGCCTTGCATGTGTATGCAAAGTGTATATTTTTTCTTTCTAAAAATGACTATGCACTTTATTCCCTGTTATCAGAATACTGTTAAAAAAGACACACTTTTACTGTGTGTGTGTGTGTGTGTGTAGCTGTATAGAAACATTGGTTTTTGTTCAAGCAACATAGTTAAGCAAAGTTGAGTCTGGTTAGCATCTAGATGGGTGACTGCTGGAGTGTACCAGGTCCTGTAAGCTTGTATATGTGGGTAGTGTAATGGATAATGACTCAGAATTGTAAATCGAAGAGTCAAGTTCGTTATATTTACTTATGTGCAAATACCTTTAGGAAAGGTATGAATCCATCTCTTCTCCCCCCCCACACACACACACACCAAGATATGGGTAAATAGCAAGACAGACTGGGTCCTATAGCCGTTCACTTGTGCTGGTTGTTTAGTAAAAAACTTAGAATTTACTGAAGCCTAATCTGTTCTCGATGGAAGAAATATATATAGATGAATCATCAGTTGAATATACTTTTTATTTCCTAAGTATTTCTGTTTGTTTATATGATAGGGAATATATGTAATGTGTGTATGTTACATGGTCACAATCTTGACCTCTTCAAATCTAGATTTAATAGTTATCTTTCCTGCATAACCTCATAAGTTTTACTTTTTCTTATTACATTCAATTTCTACGTAATTTATGTCCAGAAAAGAAAAAAATTATAAGAACACAAGAAAAATTAAAAAAAAAACTTAAGCACAGTACTTTGTCATTTTTAATGAAACTTTTATAAAGGAGGGATTGCTGCCCAAATACACAATACACA